TTTTTTTTTTTTTCTTTTTTGCTGTCCCAGGGATTGAACTCATAACCCTGTGCTTGCCAGGCAGGTGCTTATGCCACTGAGCTATGTCCCCGGCCCCTCCTCAGCTACTCTTCATGCCTGACCTTCCCATAGTTCCCTGGGGCCGGGTCTGCCTGCCTTTTCTTCCCAGGCCAAGCCTCTTACCCTGAGAACTTTATACTTATTTCTGCCTCATCCTCTTTGTCCCAAGCATAACCATAAGCACATAATTGTCTTTTTTCCCACCCAACATCAATCCAAATTTCCCTTCTACCCAGCACAAGTTCATCACTATCATGAAGTTTCTGACTTCTTGAGCTCCTGCCAATCTCTCTTTACCCCAAGTCTTAGAATTGTCAGACCTTAAATACAGTTTAGGAGATAACAATATACAGGCCAGGCATGATGGTGCATGCCTATAATCTCAGCACTCGGGAGTCTGAGGCAGGAAGATCACTGTGAGTTCAAGGTCAGCCTGGGCTACATAGCAAGGCACTGTCTAAAAAAAAAAAAAAAAAGATAGCAATATACAGACTGTGTTGTGTAGTTCACTATCCTGTTTAATAAATTGGAAGTCATTCCAGTAATTTTTGTACTATCAAGAAAGAAAAAAAGTGCTGAAGATTTAAAAACTACTTTTATTCCCCCTAAACAAGACTGGATCTAAGGCCAGGGATATAGCTCAGCGGCACAAGTGCCTGCCTGGCAAGTGCAAGGTCCTGAGTTTGATACCTGGTACCAAAAATAAACAAACAAACAAACAAAGCTGCATCTTATATTAATTTTTGCTCCAAAAGATGCAATAGGGCTTATTTTCAGGGGATGTCTTTTTTTGATGTAGAACAACCTACATTTGTTCATATACAAAAATCTACATTTATTTATATACAGTGGTACTGTCTTCGGGAACATCGTGATAACTCTCCCAACCTCGAATCTTGGCCTGAATATCTTGTGACTCCCATTTCTGGTAGAACCATGGGACTTGGGGCTGGGGATATAGCTCAGTGGCACAGCGCCTGCCTGGCAAGCGCAAGGTCCTGAGTTTTTGTCGTTTTTTTTGGTTTGGTTTCCTGGTTTTTTTTTTCCGGTATCGGGAATTGAACTCACGACCTTGCGCTTGCCAAGCAGGCGCTGTGCCACTGAGCTAAATCCCCAGCCCCAAGGTCCTGAGTTTGATTCCTGGTACAAAAGAAGAAAAAAGAACCACTGGACCCATCTCTCATGTCCAGCAATACAGCTCTCTTTAATTGATTGGTTTTTTGTTTGTTTTTTTTGCCTGGAGGGGAGGACTATTTAAACCAAGTCCCAGCTGGAAATAATGAACATTTTGTAATCTCATCAGCTACAGTAACCTTCGGATGCTGTCACATCCCCATCTGCCATAGCAGCCTGTGCTCCTCTCCTCTGACTCCGCCTGACTGCCACGGCCTTGATCACGTTGCAACCAGGAAACAACCATAGAGTCATCTATTTTCAGAAATCGAAAGCTAGGACGTGAAAGCCAGGGAAATAGGTACAGCGAGGGAGCTGCTTGCAACAGGCAAACTCGTCACCAATAGTAGTCAGTACGTCTCCTTTTACCTACACTCACATCAAACCTGAGCTCAGCGGGGAGCCTGTGTCTTCATCTCTGGGTAGAAATCTTCGCTTTCCAATTTTTATTAAAAAGCCATTAGCCTAGCGTGGTGGCGGATACCCGTAATCCCTGCGATACGGGAGACTGAGGTGGGAGGGTCGTAAACTGGAGCCCAGTTTGAGCAACTGAGTAAGATCCTGTCTCAAAATTTTAAAAAAAAGGGCTGAGGAAGTAGCTTGGGGCAGAGAACCAGGGTTCTATCCCTACTACTGAAAAACAAAACAACCAACTCTGAGGGGCTGGGGATTTAGCTCAGCAGCAAGCGCGAGGTCGTGAGTTCGATTCCCCGTACCGGAAGAAAACCAAACAAAAAAACAAAAAACAAGCAACTCTGAAGCTCTTGGCATGTAAGATGTGGAGACAAATCTGGGAAGGCAGAGGCGGTCCTAACCCTGGGCGGCGGTTCCAGGTCCTCGCAGTTGCAGGCACACCTGCAGAGCTTCTCCCCTCCCAGGCTGGTGTCGCTTTCACTGAACAAGATGAACATCTCTTCCTCGTCCAGAGGCACACTGACCATGCCGAGCTGAAAGACAGCAGAGGGGCCGCGTGGAAAGGAAGGCGGAAGGGCGCGAGGGAGGAGTGAGGACAGCAGGGCAGCAGGGGAGCAAGGCAGCGCAGCGCGGTCACCTCTCGCAGCAGCCTGTGTTTCAGGAGGTACACATTTAAGAACGTAATGGCATTGCAGCACTGGAAGAGTTTCACCCCAGGAATAGTTGTAAACTGCAAGACAGAATGTAAAATCCTTGTTTTGTGTTTTTTTTTTTTGTTTTTTGTTTTTGTTTTTTTTTGTTTTCAGTATTGGGGATTGAACCCAAGGTCTTTGGACCGAGATACAGCCCCAGCCTGTTTTTTATTTTGAGACTGGGTCTTGCTAAGTTGCTCTAACTGGACTCATATTTGTGATCCTCCTGCCTCAGCCTCCCAGGGTGCTGAGATTACAGGTGTGCAACACTTCCCTGACTCTCAGTTCTTGTATGAAGTAAAATAAATAAATCTGCATCTTTCCCTGATAGAAGCAAGAACCAGAAGATTCTTCCTTCCCATTTTCTTCTCCTTTTTTTTTTTTTTTGTCTTTTTGATACAGGGTCTCACTATGCAGTTGAGGCTGGACTTGAGCTCACTTTGTAGCCCAGGCTGGCCTCGACCTTGCAACGATCCTTGCAACAATCCTCCTGCCTCAGCCTCTCGAGTGCTGGACTTATAGGCGTGCACCATCACGCGTGACTCTCTTCTCTTAAAGTACATTTAAAACTCATCTCTTTCTGCAGCGTCCTAAGGATTCAGCTACTTAAGAACCCACCCTTCCTGTGCCTCACTTCCTCCTCCTTTGGGAAGGGACAGCTGACAACAGCAGAGGAAAACCCAAGCGCCAGGCTCCGCCCACCTCATCCCTTGCCCAGGGAGTGGGCCGAGGGGGCGCCTTACCTCGTGGTAGTCAGTGATGCTTTTGTAGATGTTGGTGTTGGGGATTTGGCCCAGGCAGTTAATCTCTGTTCTGAAAGGAGATGCCCTTGCCGTTAGCCGGTGGGGGCTTCCCCTTGCCTCGGCCAGCCTCTCCCTGGCCAAAGTACCTGTGTGACCGCACGGTCATCATGAAGAAGGCGAACAGTAGCGAGATCAGCAGCCCCATGTCCAGCCCCAGGAAGATGGTGGTTGCAAATGTCACCATCCAGGTGATCTTGTGGGAAAGTGCCAGAGAGAAAGAGACTGCCGTGAAAACTCACAGGAAGGAGGATGTGACAGTGCTGCCGTCCCCTCCCCTCTGCCCTCACCCCATGCCCCTGGGATTTGGAGACAAGAACCCCACAGCCATGTGGCCTGGTTCCGAGACACACACACACACACACACACACACACACACACACACACACACACACACAC